CGAGGTCTTGGGCCACAGGGAATGGTAGGAGAAGAGCGCCGGCTCGAGCCTCCACCCGACTCCAACTGACTGCCGATCGCAGCCCCCACATCCCGTGCCCTTCCGCACTGACACGCTCTGGAGAAGGCCTTTACTGGCAGGATGGCCACTTGCCGGACGGAAGAGTCCCCCCGCGCAGCCGTCTGAACACATCCCCCAACCTCAATTCCGTCCTCCCGTCGCCTGCCTTGGACCCTGGACCACTTTCGAGTGTGGGCGTGGCGTGGCGTGGCGTGGCGTAGCTTGGCGAGGCGAGGCGTCCGCCGTCCCCACTCATCACACGACGAGCCAGCTGTCGTGTGTCTTTGGAGCTCGAATCCGCTCCGCGACGTCGGGTCGGGCCCGGCTTGCACGCCCCCGCTCTATATCTGTCGCGCCTCACCCCCCACCCCCTCCCCCCGTGTTGCTGCCCACTTTATTAGATCGCTATATCACGCGGAGGACACACAAGGAGGCCCCCGCTGTAAGTGGGCCCGGCCTCTTCGGTGCAGGCTCTCGCCAGAGACAAAGAGTCTTTCTCTCTCACTCTCACACCCAGGCGAAATGTTTCTCATGAAGCTTGCCAAAGTATTTCACTTTTTCGCTGAGGGGACTGTACTACTTACTTACTCAAGTAGTTCGTAATGATATGAGAGAAAACTAATCTCAGAACAATAACGATCCAAAATACTCGGCAAGCGTCTTTCGAACTTACAAGAAGCGCGAGTTGTTGTTCTGGCAGCAATGTGAAATTCCGATCCTGTATACTCGTTCTTCTCAAACCCTCCGCTCTTCCCCGCTCCCCGGACAGATCCCCCGCCCGTGCCCTGCGCCTGCCGCCGCCGCCTTCCTTACACACACAGAGAGAGCTCTTAAGTGCTCGCCGCTCCCGCCCGAGCTCGCGGAAACTTTGGCAACCCGCCCCGCGACCTTGCAGCCCCGTGGCATGGCGGGGCGTGGCGGGGCGTGGCGGGGCGTGGTGGCGGGTACACACCGGGCGGGCGCTTCCGTCACCGAG